CGCCGCGGTTCTCAGGCGAACTGGGCGGCGCAACGCGGCGGCCGAGGCGGCTGGTGGGGGCCGCGTCAGCCAGGTGGCGGCTGGGGGTATGATCAGCCGGTGACGATGGCTGACCTGCAGCGCGCGGTAACTGCTGCTGTGCGCGAGGAGCGGAACGGGCAGGCGAGCCAGAGCAACTCCCCGCGTGTTGCTCAGACACCAGTGGCGCCTCCCCCGGCTGCGCCTGTCGCCCGGGCAGCCCCCTGTCCTCCTGCGGTTGCTCCTCCTCCTCTTGTTCCCTCTGCTTCGACCCCGCAGGCGGGGAATCAGCGCCGGGCCCCGTGGGTCCCCCCTGTGGCGGGGGTCGAGTTTTTGACTGCTGCTGGTGGGCCCGTGACTGCACAGTACCCGTCCTTGCTGCCTGTTGATCCCCCTCCCCCGTCTGCAGGTGTGGCTCACTCGTTCTCGGCCCTGCTGGGACCTCAGCGTCCGGTTGCGGTGCCGGAGGTGACCCTTGGTCAGATCTGGCGCCTCTCGGAGGCGCTGCGGGTCGTGCATCTGGTGCAGGTGTATGGTCATGCCGCCCTGTCCCAGGGCGACTCACTGGTGGGCGGCCCTCGGGACGATTGCTTCGCGGCTGCTGATCGCCTCGCCGAGCTGCTAGCGCCCGTGTTGGCTGCGCCCGCGCCGGGTGGGCTTGCGGGGGTCGGGCCCCTTGGCTCGGCCGTGCGTGGGCTGCGCCGGTTGTTGCATGCAGGGACTGGATCCGGGGCGATCGCCGCAGGCACGGTGTTGGTGCGGGAGCTCCATCGCACGCTGTCGGGCCTGCTTGCTGTGTTTGACGCGGACCAGATGTAGTTTCCGCGGGCCCCCGGAGCTCCGTTTGCTCCATTGCTTTTCCTAGTCTAGTGTCGTGTGTGCCTTGCTTGTATGCATGCCTATAGTTGCTTGTTTTGAGTGTGTCTTGCCACCCCTCACGCGCGGCCGAAGGCCGCGCTGTCGAGCGTCGGCCGCCGAAGGCGGCCGGCGCGAGCCGCTGGGTTAGAAGAAACGAACCCGCCGCTGAATAATGAGGAACTACAAAGGCCCCAAGGCCTTATAAACTAGGAGAGAGGGGGGCTGAGAGGCTGAGAGGCTAAGGGGCTAAGCTATGCCTCTCTCTCTCTCTCTCTCGCTCTCTCACCGCTGGGTTAGAAGAAACGAACCCGCCGCTGAATAATGAGGAACTACAAAGGCCCCAAGGCCTTATAAACTAGGAGAGAGGGGGGCTGAGAGGCTGAGAGGCTAAGGGGCTAAGCTATGCCTCTCTCTCTCTCTCTCTCTCTCTCTCTCTCTCTCTCTCTATCTCTCTCTCTCTCTCTCTCTCTCTCTCTCTCTCTCTCTCTCTCTCTCTCTCTCTCTCTCTCAAGCAGTCCTGCATTGACTTATATAGAGGTACAAGCATGACAGGCAGTATGGCCAGCACGTTCTAGACAAGGCAAGCCAGGTTGGAAGGCATTGAACAAGGGGATCCAAGCAAGGCAGAGATTACACCCCATAGCAGCCCAAGGCACTCATCCTGGAGGGAACACGTGTATCACCCATTCCTGGAGGGAGCTCCCACCCTTAGACTAGCCCTCCTATCCAGCTATAGTCCCAGCCCCCCCTCTCGTGGCCTCTCAACCAGTCATCCCGTCCTCGAGGACCTGCCAGAGGTCCCCGAGCCTAGGTTCCCACGGGTCCATGGGGGCTTGCGGTGATGCTGCCTCTGCAGCCCGGTTGGACTTTGTCAGCAGGGTGGTTGCTTGGCACCGCTTGCAGCATCACCGACCATCGTTGGCGGTAATGTGCATTGAGCCTTGCAGCCACCGTCGTGCGTGGGCCATGCTTGAAGTTCCTCTTGGCAGCGTTCGTGGCCAACAGGCGGAAGAAAAGAAACGGACTGTGTCTGCTGCCAGGGCCCCGTAGGTTTCCACAGCTAGCCCCAGGAACCCCACGTACGAGGGCCATACCTCGTACAACCTGTGCTTTCCTACGCAGGCCTCCTCTGCCGCCCACCCCGGGCTCCACCTCCCTTCCAGGTCCCGCCGCTGCAAAACCGGGTCCGTGACTGTAACATCTGTTATGTACGTTTCTCCAGTCTCACCATCACGGATTGCAAGATCTGCTCGCTTCCTGTCCACCGGTGGGGAGTAGACAGTCGTCTCATGTAGCGTCATGTACTTTGCTTTAGTGGCCATCCGCAGACATGCATAGACCAGTGCGTTGTGCGTCCGTGTTCGGTCCCCACCCTCGGCACAGCGGAGGAGGTGATTGGGTAGGCTTTTGTCGGTGATGGCTGACCGTTCCCGGTTGCACGGGCACTGTTCCGTAAAAGGTAAAGCAAGGCCTAAGCGCAGACCCAGCGCCATTGAAAACTGCCCGGGGGAGAGTGTAAGATCCGCCCGGGTGGGGATTGCGTTCAGCCAATCCCCCACTCCTGTCCCTCGTAGACTCAGCAGCCGCACCAGATGCCCGTAGTCAACCCCTAGCTTGTCAAGCCTGGTGTCTGCCAGCAGCTCCCCTGCTCTCGCCTTGTTGATGTGGGAGGATAGTAGCAGCCGTAGATGCTGTTGGCTGTTGAGGTTGGTGCGGTAGTCGTTCAGGACTAGCCGTGCCTGTTCAGGTAGGCGCTCTTCAAGCTCCCTCAGAGTCGACACCTCCCCCTGGCTTTCGTCGTGGTTGGGGGACAGAAGCGACGCTACTCTGGCGAGGGAGTGGTCCCTGGGGGCGTCCAGTTGCTGTAGTAGTTGCTGTGATGCCGCAATCGAGGACAGGTAAGCCGCTGGTGCCTCGGAAACTGGATCAATAAGTCCAAGACCCCCTAGTCTAACGGGGAGGCTCGCTTGGCGCCACAGGAGACTCTGCTCGAGTTCAATCGATGGCCAGTGCAGTTTGGCTGCCTCCAACGCTGTCCGGAGCAAACCCTCACTCCAGCCTCTCCATTCCGCCAACGGCAGTAGCTGGGCCGGTATGGTATGCAGGATGTAGGAGATCCTCCTGGAGATGCAACGAGAGAGGAGGAGGAGCGCGTGTTGAGGGTGTAGCTGGCTGATAAGGTCACACAAAGCCACTGCATTCGTCAGGCTCTGGCGCAAGAAGGTCGCAGCCCAATCCGGTGTTCCTATAGGGCTTCCTAGCACCCGAATACCGCCCGTTGCTGCCGCGATGCCTTCCGGTAGAGGGGTACGCTCTGGATCCAGCTCCGGGCCCCACGCCGTCGACTTGCTGAAATTGCAGCTGAGTCTGCATCGCTGTAATCTGTCCGTGAGGAGGTTAAACGCTAGCGTCGCCTCTTCTGGCGGGCCAATCACCGTGATGTCGTCGGCGTAGGCAACTATTGTGACGTCCGAGTACGTCATGGCGACGTGGAGAAGAGATGGCTGTATGGCGGCCGCAAATAGGAGTGGTCCTAAGGGATCTCCCTGGCGGACCCCTCTGGTACTGCTTATGCTCTCACTGCCGAACGCGACATCTAACAGCAGTGGTGACGGGCCGTCATAGAGAGTACGGACAAAGGGAATTAGCGGATTGAGGGGAGACCACTGAATGGCATTCAGGAAGGCCGCGCGTTCTACGCTGTTAAAGGCGTTCTCGACATCAATTTGTAGCGCCACGCGAGTGGTATATTCCTCGAGTAGCGCTCTGACAGAGTGGATAATGCACCCTGCGCCTCCTTCCACTGCCACGCCGAATTGCACCGGAAGAAAAAATGTTCAAAGCGCCGCCTTAGCCGCTACGCGTAGAATAGTTTCACCAATAGCGATAGGGCGAACACCGCCGCCTGGTTTCTCAAGTGTTATTAGTCGGGAGGGTAGCAGCACATCTCGCACATTTTGAGGTAGGAAGTTGCCCAGCAGGTGGTTGATGACTCCGCGCAACAGCGTCAACACTTCCTCGTTTCCCAGCGCTGGATCCCGCAGATGTTCGAAGCAAGTTCCTGATGGGCCTGCGCCAACCCCGCCCGGACATTTCATCAAGATGCTGCGAAGGTTCTCCTGGCTCACGGAAAGTGGTAACGTCGCCTCTGGGTGTTTCGCACGCTGTGCCGAGACCGTCTCAGATGTCGCTTTTGCCAGCGGTGTGGTTTGTAACGCTGCTACTGCTTTCGACAAATTGCCTTTCCGAACCAGGCCCTCAGCCCTCGAACACAGCCCTGTTGCGTCCGGCTGGTATCTGATTGGCGCCTGGCCTGGGGCGATCGTGATCGCCTCGCTGTACAGGTTGTCCCACTCCCCCAGCCGAAATTTGTGCAATCGCGCTTCGATTTCAGCCCACCGATTCCCTAGTGACTCCTGTGACTGTGGACGAAGTGTGAGCCGTGGTAAAAACATGAGCACTCGCCACCCCCTGGGACAGTTCGGATATTGTTGTAGGCGAAGTAGTGGTGCAAGGAGGCAGAGAGAGTAGGCCGCTAGCACGTCAGGTGGGAGCCTCCTGGCGACAAATGGTTGGTCGCCCCGTGTTAGCAGCGCAATGTTCCATGCGTCCGTTCCCGCCCAAAGCGATTCTGTGACAGCCAGATCATTCGGGGAACGGACGTCCTGCTGTCCTGCCACCTCCGCACGGTTCTCACCCTGCTCACCCGTCACCGGCTCCCTGTTTGCTGGATTGGCTTGGTTCCGCCCACGGCGATCACTCCGGATTTGGCCAGGATTCTCCGCATCGAGCTCAATGTTCTCGGAGGATGGGGTAGGCGAGGGGATGAAGGGCGCGTCAGTGCCTGATTCCTCAGCATCCGCCTCCTCCCCCACCTGTTCCGCAGGGTTTGGTTCCATCCGCCCGTGGCGCTCCCTCCAGCTCCCTGTTCTCACTGGTTCCGGCGGGGCTCGCGCCCTGACACCTCGGCGTCTCCCCCTGGCTGTCGTTCCGCCCCTTCCCACGCTCCTGCCTGCTGGGATCCACGGTCTTGCCGGCGCTACCCACCGGATCCGGTTAGCCGCGCGTGGCGGGCACGGGTCTGACTGCGGTGCGGCCGGCGCTGGCGCTCGTTCCCGTCTAGCCTATCGTTCGCGTCGCTGCGCTCTCTGCGTCATCGCTATTGCCGCCTCACCCGCTGGTGGTGCACTCGGTGATGGCGGACGAGGCGCTTGCTGTTGTGGCGACTGCTCTTGCCGGAGCCACCCGTGCAGGGGACCGGGCTGGCCGGGTGCCAGCGCTGCTCCGAGCCGTCGCGGTGCTGGCTGAGGGCGACGACCACGAGTCGCACGAAGGGCGACGACGTCAATATCGCTCTCCTCACGCGAAGGCACACCCATACCGCCGTGCACCGCGTCAGTCTCCAGGCCTCGCCCCCCCTCAGCCACGGCAGAATCCCGGGCCAACTCGTCGGCGGCGTCAGCGGGCAACACCGCAGCGATCTCCTCTGCCGCCTCACCCCCCACAGGTGCAGCAGTCTCCCCTGCCGCCTCACCCCCCGCAGGCGCAACAGTCTCCTTTGCCGCCTCACCCCCCACGGGTGGATCAGTCGCAGCCTCCTTCTCCGCTTCCACGAGCGCAACCCCTGGTGTACCCCCCGGCTGCGTCCCCCCCGCCGCGAGATCCTCACGTCTCCGGTCCACCACCTCAGCCCCCTCCAGCATCTCAGGCGCCGTCTGCTCCCTCCTCTCCTCCTCTTGGCCAGCTGCCCGGTTCGTTCCCCTGGGAGCAGTTGTCTCCTGCCGCGGAGGGCACTCCCCCAGGACAGGTACTGCAACAACGATGGAGCTTGTGGGAGCATTCCCCCCCGTCGAGCGTGCGCTTTGCATCGAGAGGCGCGTGTCGCACGTGGGGACGTGTTTGTCCCTGGTGGCGGACGTTATGGATCAGCTAAGCGCTTGTCAGCATCGACAGCAGCCACCTGGTCTTGCGTCTCTGGTGATGTCGGAGCGAGAGCAGGCGGAGGCCGTAGCATCGGCAGTGCAGATTTTGCGCATGTTGCCTGAGATCGGGCTTGTGCCTGGCTCACCCGGGTCCGCCTTGGGGCTTGGGCCCGCTGCCCTGCGGCGTCTCGTTCTTGCCGCTTTGCAGGCTCCGCTCGACGTCGTGCCAGCCGCAGCGTCCGTGCTACGCTGGATGGACGTGCGATTGGCTTGGATCCTCGCCGAGTAGCGTTACTCCTCCCTTTGCCCGCTTGCACCGCCTTTGGTTTGGGCTTGGGCTTCCCCATGGCTTTGTGGTTATGCCTGGGGGTGGTGTTCTTGCTTGCTCCTTGCCTATTGATGCATGTTGTACCACCCCCTTGAGTTGTGCTTGTTGCTCTTCCTTGCCACCCCTCACGCGAGCCGCCGGATTTGGGGAGTAAACCAAACTCACCAGTGAAGAATGAGCCCCATGGGCAAGGAACTAGGGGTTATATACTAGGAAAACAAGGCTGAAAACGGCTAAGGACTAGGGACTAGACTAGAGAAGCAGAAAACGGCTAAGGACTAGCCCCAAGCCATCTCTCTCTCTCTCTCTCTCTCTCTCTCTCTCTCTCTCTCTCTCTCTCTCTCTCTCTCTCTCTCTCTCTCTCTCTCTCTCTAATGGTCCGTATATTGATAAGCCAGAAGGGTACACACATGCAATGAGAGACAGCAGGTACTAACATGCAAGGTAGCCTAGACTTTCCAACCCCACTAAGCCACCTAGAGCTCCAGAAGAGGCTCTAGGACGGTAAAGCAGTCCCCTAGGTACAATTCTTGCCCTATCCCTCCTACAGGCGGGTTCTCTGCAGCTGCCGCCTCTCCTAACTTGATCATGAGTCCCACGGATTGGGCCCTCTGCAGTGCAACCGACCACCTCTGCCTGAACTGGTGCAGAAACTTAGCGGCATGATAGGATTTGGAGTCGGCGTTGAAGTATCGCCGAGCCGCCGTGTCTGCAAGGAGTTTCAGGAACACAGGGACCTCCGCACAAGGGCAGCCGTAGGTCTCTACGGCGAGGGGGAAGAAGCCCACTGTCTCTGGCAGGTTCTCATAGTGCTTGATCTTCTTATCCGCCTGCTCCCGGGCCGCCCATCCCCTGCCTTTCTTGGCCTCCGGGTCCCTGGTACTAATAGGGTCTGTAACTGTCACATCACACACCCAAACTGCCCCACTGCTTCTGTCTGTCATGGTGAAATCCGCTGTCTGCTCCTCTATGGGGCAGTAAACATTTGTTTCTCTCTCTCTCTCTCTCTCTCTCTCCTCTCTCTCTCTCTCTCTCTCTCTCTCTCTCTCTCTCTCTCTCTCTCTCAAGCGGTCCTTGTATTGATATCGAGTACAAGCAGGGCAGAGAATACAAACAACCTATTAGCAAACCTAAGAACAACCTACAGCCCCTACCCCCCCCCCCCCCCCTCCCCCTCCCCCCCCCCCCCCCAGGCTCCTAAGGGAGCTCGACAGTGGGCTCAAGCACGGCAAAACAGTCCCCCAAGGACATTTCCTCCCCGGGGGCCCCGACGAGGGGGTTCTGGGCCTCGGCTGCCAGGTTGCACTTGGCCATGTAACTTATGGCCTGCCCCCGCTGAAGAGCGACCGACCAACGTTGGCGGAACTGGTTGAGTAGCTTTGCCGCTTGGTAGGTTGCAGGGTCAGCGTTAAAAAGCTTGCGTGCAGCTGTGTGGGCCAATAGCTTTAGGAAAGCGGGGACCTCAGCGCATGGGCAGCCATAAGTCTCGACTGCAAGGGGTACGAATTCTACGTAGGCTGCCGGGGAGCCCCTGTAATCCGATATTTTTTTGTCCGCGGCTTCCCTGGCAGCCCACCCCCTCCCTTTCACTTCGTTGGGGTCGCGCGTGCTGTTGGGGTCAGTGATGGTGACATCCCCTATCCACACTGCCCCGGAGGACCGGTCTCGGATAGCTAGGTCCGCCGTCTTCCTAGTGACCGGGCAGAACTCCGACGTTTCCTTGTGCACCATGAACCCAGCTTACTGTGCCATCCTGACACACTCATCCCTCAGCTCGTTGTGAGTATTTGTCCGTCCCCCTCCTGTGGCGCAGCGTAGCAGATGGTTTGGTAACCGTTTGTCAGGGATGGGGACCTGTTTGGTGCAGTCACAGGCGCCTGGGGCTGAAAATGGAAGTCCCAACCTGAGCTGGAGGGCTGTGGCAAAGTGGGGACCGTCAAGCCTTAGGGAGGGCATGAGCGGAACTGCGTGGAGCCAATCCCCAGCTCCGTACCCTGACAGAGAGAGAAGGCGCTGCATGTGGCCACAGTTGGGGTTTGGGGTCATGCTGCGTGTGTTCTCCACTTGGTTTGCATACCTCCTGCCCTGAACCGCCAAAGCTAGTCCCTGCTGCAGCTTTGCTCCCGTGGGAGCAGCCCTGTCAATTTGAAGCAGCTCCCGTGCATCGCTTGGTAGGTCAGCCTCGCAGCGAGCTAGCCAGCCGTAGAGAGCGCAGGAGTCTGTGTACGGCCCCGTCATCTGCACCCGTGTCTCCGCCAGGGGCCCTAACTGGCTATCTTCGAGGGTTGAGAGCAGCTGCTGTGCCTGGTTAAAGCTTGCTAGGTAGCTGTAGCTGCCCTCTACCGCAGGGTCCGTGATTCCGAGGCCTCCGAGTGATACCGGCAGCGAAGCTTGGGACCATGTACGGGAGATTTCAGTGTCTCCCCTCGGGTGCTTGATGCCACATGCCGTTAAAAGAGTCTCGAACAACTGCCTACCCCAACCGGACCACTCATCCAGTGGCAAGTGCATGAGGGGTGTGGTCCGGATGAGGTAAGAGACTCTTCGTGAGATACACCTGGAGAGTAGAAGGGCTGCTAGCTGGGGTTCCATCCGGCCTATCAGACCGAGGGGTGCCGCCATGGAGCTTAGGTTTGAGCGGATGAAGTCTGCTGTGGCGTCATCCGAGCCTATGAAACTGCCCAGCACCTTCACGCCGTTTCCAGCAAACGGGACACCCTCAGGTAAGGCGGTGGTTGGGAAGCCTGACAGTGACGTGGCTGCGCATTTGGATGGGTTATGATGCAGCCCGATTGACTTGAGATTTTCTATGAAGTGTTGAAATGCTGCTATGCAGGTATGATGCTCCCCTAGGAAAGTGACGTCGTCCGCGTATGCTAGGCAGGCTACAGTTGGGAACGCTTGGGCTGTAGCTTGTAGCGCGGGGTTGATTGCAGCTGCAAATAGCAGTGGCCCCAGTGGGTCTCCCTGCCGAACTCCCGTCATGCTCAGCAGGGGCGCATGCTTGAACCCCTCGTCCAGGTAGAGCAGTGAGGGAGCCTCGTAGGTGAGCTATACTAGTGGCAGTAGTGGTGCTAGAGCAGAATTGTCTAGCGCCGATGCTATTGCGGAGCGGTTGACACTGTTAAAGCGTTCGCTAGGTCCACCTGGAGGGCTAGAGCAGATGGTTTTTCAGATAGGTAGGCGCGGGTGATGTGGATGACTGCTTCCGCTCCCCCAGGTACTGCCACGCCAAACTGGTGTGGCATGAAAAAATTTCTCGCAGCCCCCGCTGTCATCATCAGGGCCGTTTTGGCAGCGAGTCTGGTGATGCTCTCTCCAATAGCAATCGGCCTTGTCCCCCCGTCCGGTTTGGAGAGAGCCAGTAGGCGCGATGCTGAAAGGATGCTGGCGACTGTTGGTGGCAGTTTCCCTGTCAGGATGGTGTTCACCATTGCATGGAGGTTTGTCGCCACTGACTGGTTGACTAGGCAGGCCTCCTGCAAGTGTTCGAATGTCAGGCCCGATGGGCCCGCCCCAATCCCATTGTCGCATCGCGACAGCACTTTGAGAAACTTGGGCAGGGTGGCAGTCAAGTGGGCGTTAGGGTCAGGTGCTGGCCAAACCAGGGGAGCGTCAGGTGCCGGTGGGTGCTTGGCGCGCAGCGCATCGAAGATTACTGGTGATGGGGTGCACACCGGCGTCGCTTCCAGTGCCAGAACTGCACGCCTTAGGCTGCCACGTCGCGCAAGGCCCTCTGCCCTTGCAATCACTCCGATGTCGTCTGGTGTGTGCCTGGGCGCTTGAGGGTAGGTCAGAGAGTCCAGCGTGTCAGAGTACAGTGCACTCCACTCCCCCGCCAAGAATTGTCGAAGTCTTGCTCTGATTGCCGGCCAGTCGGGTTTTTGGGGGGTGTGCTGTCTCAGCGTCAGGCGTGCGAGGAACAGAAAAACAGTCACGCTGTCACTGATTCTGGGTCGTCGGCCAGTCGGAGTAGAGGAGCAAGCAGCGCAGTCGCGAAAATAGGGCGAATGTCCTGTGGGAGGTGGCGTGGCAGGGGTGCGTTGCGACTGTCGCAGAGTTTCGTCAGGTCCCAGGTTTCCATGGCAGCAAATAGCGCGTTGTCTGCTGCCAGCGCTTCAGGTGATTTTTCCGTAGGTGGTTGCGAGCGGTTTGGCGGTGCGGTGGTGGGTTGGGATTGGTGGCGCGATCAGATGCTGCAGTCAATGTGGCGGCTCGGGAGGAGGGGGGAATTTCTGCAGATGCGGCTCGATTTCCTGGGCCAACCCCGATTCCTTGCGCGGCTCGAATTGGGGTTGGTCGCCTTCCCCTCGGCGGACTCCTCTCCTCAGCCGAGTCATCTGTGGTGGACTCGGCCTCCTCGGAGGGAATAAAAGAGGCATCGCGAGCCTCGTCATCCTCATTCCTTAGTGTTAAAGCCCTTTGCGCAGCTTGTTGGAACGCATTCTCAGGCCCTCCGCCACGTCCTCTCGTAGACTGCCGCCCTGCGCCTCGCCCACGTCGTGATGCCTGTGTCACTTGGGGCCGATTTCTCGTATTCGCCAAGGCCCTTTGTCGTGGCGTCAGCTGTGAGTGCCCCGCTGGTTGTGTCGACCCCAACGGCGCCCCCAGTGGCGAA